CAGAAGATTTATTATCTTCTTTTAAATCTTTCTTTATAAATGAGTTCTCATGAGTCAATTGCAGTTGATTGTCAGTCTGAATCTCAACATTATCATAGCTATATTCTTGAATCTGATGAATTATAATATGATTCATTCTTTTTGAAAAAATATAAGTAGTGATCAACTGAATTTGAAGATCTTTCATTTCTTGAATTTCTTTAAATCTTTTCTCACAGTCATTAAATTAAGAGATATTCTCATGTAAAACTCTAAGTGTTGATCTACTTTTCTGTTTATCAGTTTGAAACTGATTCAGAGAACTATACTCATGTCAAACTTCTTCTTCATCACTCTTTTCATTAAATTGAAGATCTCAAGATTATTGATCTCTTCATCTCTTAGCTCTCTTTTACAGAGGTCTTTAATTATTGTCATCTTTCTCATAATCACTCAGTTGATGTCTATGATGAAGACATGCTGAAACCAGAACCTGAGTTTGAAGATAATCAGAATGATGAAGAGAAGCTTGATCTCTCTTGAATATTACTTATCTGTCAAAACTCACAGCATGATAATGATGACCTTATTAACATCTGAAACTGTGAACAGCTTGATTATCAGTTCTTAGATTTCAACTATGATTGAAGCTCTCATATTGATACTTATATCAATCTTGACACAGAATTTTGAAATAATATAAAGACTGACTTCTCTGCAGATACTACTCTTTATAAATATGACTCACTTAAGACTCTAGACTCTGATCAACACCTTCTTTATAACACTATTCTCTATTATTATACTGAGATTCTTAACAGTGAGTTTCTGAATTCTTTGCTAATTAATCTAGATAATGAAGATGACACTGATAAAACTTATCTGATTATAATTTTGTCTACAACTCTTCAAAATCTTGCAGAGGCTCAAGATCTCTCAATCTCAATTATTCAAGCTGCATCAACTGATGTAGCTACTCACTTTATTAATACTTGAATCTTGCATGCATTATTTCAGCTTCTCATACACAAGAATATGTCATATGAACTGCTCAACTCTCAAAATCTTTGATCTTTGCAGACTCTTTTTAAGAATGTTCACTATCTGTTAATTGATGAAAAGTCAATGATTGATTTATAGCAACTCTCATGAATTAATCAGATCTGTCATTACATATTCTCTCACAAGAATGCTCATTTTAATGATCTCAGTATCATTCTCAGTGAAGATTTCTATCAGCTCTCATCTGTTTTTCAAACTCCACTCTATTATAACAGATGTATTGATTATAAAGAAGATATTCAGAGCTGTCAAATCTACTTAGCTTTTAGTAAAATCATTTAACTTACTGTGATTCAATGACAAGTGAGTAGACTGGCCGCTGAGACCATGAATTTCACATTTGGTCTCATTTAGTCTGGTCTCATACATTTCTTGGCGTGAATCCCGCTGGGACTGGCTATCAAAAAAACATGTAAAGTGACTATATATCAGATCTTAAAATGGAACCATAACTTGAAAAAAATGAGAAAGTGATCTCATTTGGTCTCATTTAGTTCCATTCTTGGCATAAAGTTACTATTTTTAGACATTTTAAGGTTTTTTTTAGACTATTTTTAATTTTTTAAAAAGTAACACTTTTTGGTAACACTCAAATGAGATTTAAAGTCATTTAAAGCTATAAAAATAATTTAAATTGAGAAGTGGAAATCATGATCTCATTTGAAAAATGTGATAAGAGTAGACACTAAGTTTCACTGAGACAGTATGAGACTACTATCAAATGTTAAAACTGTGTAATGAGATCAGGTCGAATTGATAATGAGAACTATAAAAAAATCTAGTTCTGGTCTC